GACTCCGGAATATATTACAAAAATCTAACAAGTTATACCAATATATACTAAGTTATCCCGTTTGTTTCACAGAATTTGAGTTACATAACTAACAAGTTATACTAACAAGTTATAGCAAGATTTACTAAGGTACACTATTTATTTAACCGATTACTAAGTTACAAAAACTAGCAAGTTATACTAATTTGCACTTAGTTGGCCACAGTATTGAGACATACCTTTGAATGGCTGGAGTCCGACACAGTTTCTTCTGTGTCACTTACATGCGAGTCAGTGTCGTTCGAACCATCAAGGACTTCGCGTTGTCCTGGAGGCAAATCACCAACATAATTTGGGTTCTTCGTGCGCCCCATTGATCTTCGAAAAACCAAACAACCCAACGAAATCGGTTAAGCATTTTAACCTAAATTCGACGCGGATTCTACTCAAAATTGCAAAATGTATACTCGAATTTGAATAAAGGAATTAGATTTGGACTTACCTTATTAGATTTCGAGTTATCCTTGATTGTACTAGAAGAAGGAAGAGAGTTGGAAGAGGAGATGGCAGATGGCGGACTTGTAGTTTTTTTTTTAAAAACTGTCGAAGGGAGGTTGGGTTAAAGAGGAAGAGTGGGATCCGAATTTTCTGGGTTTGGATGTGGGTTGATCCATTTAGGGTGGTTGGATCTGTAAATAAGAAATTTTATTAGGGGGTTTTGGTTCTTTGTCATTTTTTTCGATTTTTATACATAAAATTTAAATCAAAAATATTTTTTTATTAATAGAGGGTTATATCTGAATAGAAATGATCCTGTAAGGGTATAGGAGGAGAAGCTCCTAGTTTTTTAGACGTGTTTAATTAATACGGCAACGTTTGAGGAATGTAACTTTGCGCAAAAAACCAGTGTTGAACGCGACGCGACCTGTATTTTTGTCCAAGGTTTTGTGGCGATGGCGACGGCGGTAGTGATGAACGGCGAGTCGAAAAAGCTTCCTAAGCCAGGTCGCGGCGGCTTCCAAGCCCGTGGATTAACGGAGGAAGAAGCTCGAGTTCGCGCCATATCGGAGATTGTGAGCTCCATGATTGAGCGCTCCCACCGCAACGAGAATGTTGACCTAAACGCGATTAAAACCGCAGCTTGCCGGAAATACGGCCTAGCCCGTGCGCCAAAGCTTGTCGAGATGATTGCCGCGCTTCCTGATTCAGAGAGAGAGACTCTTCTTCCGAAGCTCCGTGCCAAACCCGTTCGAACGGCTTCAGGGATCGCTGTCGTGGCGGTCATGTCGAAGCCCCACAGGTGCCCGCACATAGCCACCACTGGGAATATATGCGTGTATTGCCCCGGTGGACCTGACTCTGACTTCGAGTACAGTACTCAGTCTTACACTGGATACGAGCCCACCAGCATGCGAGCCATTCGAGCCAGGTGAAGAGTTTCTACTGCGTTATGGAATTGTAGTCTGTAATGTGCCAAAGTAAATTGTTGGGTTTTTCTGAGGCGTATTATGAATTGAAATCGTATTAGGATGAATCTAGTCTCTAATAAAAGATGTTAGCCTTGGTGGGGAGGACTTTCTTTGATTCGTAATCTTTAGAATCCAAGCTATTATTGGAGTGTGACATTTAGTTTCTGTTGCTGACAACGCATGGTAGGTCGTTCCTCAAGATCCATTTTGTGTGGATAGCTTCATGAGAGCTTGGATTGGGATATTTTCTTAGGATCATAGCTATTCTTGCTTGATGTGTTGGTCTTTAATTAGTGTTTCCAGTTCGAACATTATTGTAGATTAGAAGAAATATTGATGAATTGAGAGAGTTTTAGTTAATGAACGGGAATCGGGACATGCTTAGTCACGCAGCTGCTAAGGATCCATAAGAAAAATGCTAAAGCTAAACCAGAGATAAGCTTGCTCCTCTGTTTGAGGGAATCAAATAGATACGAAATCCTTCAATGGATATTTTGAACATCCTAATCGACTATAACTATTCTTATATACTTCTGTCTGCTGTTTCGGTAGTGATCTTCATGTTAAAATGGACTTTGTTAAAGCTCTGTTTATTATCTTAGGTACAATCCATACGTTCAGGCAAGGAGCAGGATTGATCAGCTGAAGCGGTTGGGTCACAGTGTAGATAAGGTTAGAGTTTGATCTTTTCTAGTAACATACAAGTATTACTTCCTTTTTACCAGTCTTCAGGCCAGATGATTACTCCTGATTTGAATGACAGGTTGAGTTCATTTTGATGGGAGGTACTTTTATGTCGCTGCCTGCTGAGTATCGGGATTACTTCATACGGAACCTTCATGATGCTTTATCAGGACACACTTCCGCCAATGTTGAAGAAGCAGTTGCTTATTCTGAACATAGTGCAACTAAATGCATTGGCATGACAATTGAAACGTGAGTTGTTTGGGTTGAAGTGTCTTTTTTGGGATGCATTGATCTATATCTAAGTCAATTATATTTGGATATCTTTCTTTCTCTTCTTCTTTTTTGCTTCTTTGGATTTTTTTGTAGCTTCTATATTGATTTCACTGCATTATTTGTGGTACTTGATGGAGAGAGTCACGTGGAGGGGGAATGATATCAATAGTCCTATCCTAAAACTTTTGTGAATTGGTTTTGTGTTTCATTGCTGTTCATTTTCAATTATCACTTTAAATGGAAGAGTGATTGAAATTTTAAATCTGAGAGAATACATTACATAATCTGTTTTACAAAATCACCAGGAGGCCAGATTACTGTCTTGGACCGCATCTACGACAAATGCTGTCTTATGGTTGCACCCGACTTGAGATCGGTGTCCAGAGCACATATGAAGATGTTGCCCGTGACACAAATAGAGGGCACACTGTAGCTGCAGTAGCCGACTGCTTCTGCATGGCTAAGGATGCTGGTTTCAAGGTGTACCCCTAGAGCTTTATCTTTGTTGAATATTTTATCATGTTAGTATCAAGTTTCTCTCGGTAGCTTTCACCTTCTATGTTTCTGTTCATCATTTTTTAAAGCAGTGAACCTTTCTTTGTTCAGTGACACTGCTATAACTGTGTCCTTATTCCGTTTGTCTTTTTGCTTATAGGTGGTTGCACATATGATGCCTGATCTTCCTAATGTTGGGGTTGAGCGAGACATGGAAAGTTTTAAGGAGTTTTTCGAGAGCCCGTCATTTAGAGCAGATGGGTTAAAAATATATCCTACCCTTGTGATTCGTGGAACTGGCCTATACGAGCTATGGAAAACTGGGAGGTATAATGTTCTTGTGTTCAAAGATGAGTGGGCGCTTCTATGTTATAAGGGAAAGACGCTAATCATGTTCAGTTTTCTGCAGGTACCGGAACTATCCACCTGAGCAGCTTGTGGATATAGTTGCAAGAATTCTCTCCATGGTACCTCCGTGGACACGTGTTTATAGAGTTCAGCGTGATATTCCTATGCCTCTGGTTACATCAGGGGTTGAAAAAGGAAATCTTCGTGAACTGGCTCTGGCCAGAATGGATGACTTGGGCCTAAAATGCCGTGATGTTCGTACTCGTGAAGCTGGAATTCAGGTGATAAATGCCAGATGTTTTTTCGTCCTTTGTTTGTGTTGTTTTGAACACTAGATTTCCTAACAATTATCTGCTCATATGGTCTAATACAGGACATTCATCACAAAATTAAGCCAGAACAAGTAGAGCTTGTGCGTCGTGATTACACTGCAAATGAAGGTTGGGAGACATTCCTTTCATATGAAGATACACGCCAGGTATAGGCTTCATATCTCTCATCCTCAGATTTCAGTGGTTAGTGCCGAGAATGTTAGTGAAGAAATTATTATCCCATTTGTCTGATTTCTATTAGGGGATTGCTATGACCTTTTATCTGGTTTATTGAGATCTCAGGCTTCTTTTCACTCATTAGATCCACTAAGTCATGTTTATCTCTAAATATAGATGTTTGTTTTAGAAAAAAAAGGGAAATTGTCAAGTTTTAGGTAGGACGCAGAGCATGTTATGTTTTAACGTATCAGCATCTGTTTTCTTGGCCTTTCCCGTATTCCTAGATCTTTTTGACTCAGCAACGTGCATTATGAGTGGTGTATACAGTAAATTCGGATTTTTGATCAAATGTGCCATAAGATCATATATAGATTGAGATGGTGATGAAATTTGTATCCATAATTTCATTGGCATGGACCAAGCCTAAAGTTTCATGACAAGCTCGAAAAGCTTTGTTTGTCCTCTCAAGCCTTAAGGCCCACCCCTTCTCTTTTTCAGTTTTAGAATCTGTCAATGCTCTGAAAATTTCTCAGAGAAGGACCCATCATTTATCTTTGTGGACGCAGGACATTCTTGTTGGGTTGTTACGTTTACGTAAATGCGGGAAGAACGTAACTTGTCCAGAACTCATGGGAAAGTGTTCTGTTGTCCGTGAGCTTCATGTATATGGAACGGCTGTACCAGTTCATGGTCGAGAGGCTGATAAGTTGCAACATCAGGTACCCATGCCTCGCAATTTTTAACAGATGAAATTGCCGCTTCACTATGGAGTTGTATCCTGATTGTCCGGCTTTTGTTCTTCTGTCGTATTTTCAGGGCTACGGAACACTTCTGATGGAGGAAGCAGAGAGGATTGCAAGAAGAGAACACCGATCTAACAAAATCGGTGTGATTTCAGGTGTAGGAACCCGACACTACTACAGAAAGTTGGGTTATGAGCTGGAAGGTCCTTATATGGTGAAGCATCTTCTTTAAAAATCTTGTTTACTTAATAAACCAATTTCGTACACTTTATGTTGAACTAGTGAGATTAATCACCTGATCCTTTTGAGTGTCACTTTTTCTTTATAAATTCAAAATACTCAAAAAGAAAGTCTTACACAAGTTTTGCAACCTCGCATTATACGAAAGAATCCTACTTCAAAACTGATTGTCGACTGTATATGATATAGTTTATGCTGAAGTTGTAAAACCTTATCTCTTCTTCTTTACATTGCCTCCCTTTCTAGAGCTACTACTACTAGCCTCAGGTCCTTCTGCTTCTTCAGCCTTTTGCTCTGCCTCGAGTATCGCCAACTGGAGATTACATTCAACCATTATCACATCAAAACTTGGCCAGTTTGTCTAAAACACTTTAGAAATAGAGAAAGGAGAAACTGATGTGATATAATCTCTCACCTCATCTAGAATGGGTTTGAGTTCCAGATACCGAGTTTCAGCAAGATCAAAACCATCCTTCCGCAGCTCCTACAATGCCAATTACATGGATCACCATTATGTCATGACTAATGACAAGGACTACAGTATGCTTGTCATTATATGCTCGATCAAAACAGAATGGCATACCTTGCCTGTATGTTGAGTATGCTCATAGGCAGCCATTTGCCAGTA